CCCCAAAACCCCAAAACCCCAAAACCCCAAAACCCCAAAACCCCAAATGGTGATCTGTTCATTGAAATTATAATTTCAGGATTCAAATTGTCAATGAATCACTATTTTATAAATGAATTATTAATGAATTTACGTCATAAATAAGCTTTCGCTTTTCCATTTTACTTAGTAAACTCGAAAATTATGAACATAAAGCTCTCTTTAATTTAATGCTTCGTGTTCTAAAGCCTCACTAGAGCTGATTCTGCTTTCTGGATCATACTCAAGCATTAGCTTTATGAGTTCTTGGAATTCAGGGTCAATATTCTTCCAGTCTCTTTTTAAGAATGGAATTGGTCCGCTTCCTATATGAAAATTAGTATTGTTAATAATGCTTCTTACCATATTTGTATTTTCTGACTTTATCTGGGGCGTAAGCCACTCACATCTTGTACAGGCAGATTCCTAATGCCCACATATCAATTTCAGGACCGACGTAAATATCACTCTAAAGCAAAATGTTAGGTTAAGGCCGAAAATTATGAAACTTACTCCTTTCAACTCGGGAGCCATATAGCCAAACGTTCCAACACATTGGTCGAGATGAGCTTTTCCCTCTAGGTCAGAGTCTGCGAAGACGCTGAGATTGAAATCAAAGATCTGAAGAATTTCTTCAGAATTTTCAGCATTTTTGTTCAAGCCCATGTTAGACAACTTCACATCACAGTGAATTATCCCCTTAGAATGGATATGAGCCAAGCCTTGGAGTGCCTCTTTGGCATATTTCTTCAATGCGTCCATATCTTCGATTGGTTCATAGTGCTATAGCAAGCAAAATGAGAGGAGAGATTTAGCAATTAGTCAAAGGTAAATTTTGATGAAAATTGCGAAGATATTAGGCCTTATATAGCCAAGATTCCTAAAAATCTGGAAGAAGTGTGTAAAAGGCTTACATCTTCGAGACGGTCTTCGAAGTAAGATCCTTTGCTGCAGTAGTCCATCACTAACTCTAAGTTGTCCTCAGATTCGTGGTATTTGTGAAGTTTTACAATATTTGGATGATCTAACTCAGAGTGTATGATACATTCTTGCCTCACAGCCACCTTTCTGAAGTCATTGAGGCCGTCTTTAAAGACTGTTTTCTTGACAAGGATCTAGAACATTTTAGAAGATTTCAAAAGGATCCCTTACCTTATCACTTCCAGGCTTAGAGATAGTTTCAACTTTGCAAGGAGCAAGAGGAAGTTGGTATAACACGTCATGGGTTTCATATCCTTCCATCTCAGACTCTTCTCATGGTAGATAGACACGTTGGGTACCACAATTCCAACTCTCGCAGGATTTGGTACTACAAGTCATGCTTCCATCCATATCTGTGAAGCTATGCTTCTATATGCAAATTCGAATCTTTATAAGATTGAGAACAAAGTTGGTAATTCAAATGTTCAAGATTTCTGATAGAGATAATTTAGTTAAAAAATTGATTTTGAGATAAAAGAGCTATGACGTGGAGCAATTTTATCAAACTGGGATAACGTACATGCTACGTTATAAAATAAAGCTGAAGCTACCTTAATGGTATAAAGGTATTTAGTGAAAAGGAAAACTGTTTGGTGTCTCTCAAAAATTTCATTTCGAGATGCCCTCAAATTCGAAAATCTACTATTCTCCGGAAACTTGGTGAGTAGTGGATTCTCGAGTGTCTAAATTATCCCCTTGCCATCCAAAACTTGTATCAAATAGTGTTGCAAAATGTTTTCAAAAGTTCTAAGGAGCAATAGAGAGAGATCAATCTAGCAAAGTAGCTGAATGTGAGTATAGGCTTTGTAAGGCCATACTTTTGGAATAATCTTTAACAACGATAGTAAAATCCCTTTGCCTACCTTTTCGTAATGTTCAACTTGATTCATGTTTAATTTTCTATAAAATTCAATAATAATTCTCTTAAATGGGGTTTTGGGGTTTTGGGGTTTTGGGGTTTTGGGG